TGTGCTGAGCAGCACCTGCAGCTGAGTCTGTGCTTTTACCCTAACAGCCCTCAGCTGGGACCATGTGGGGCTGGAAGGTGACTGTAATCAGGTGGTACAAAATTATTTATTATTGCTTGGTCTGTAGCTGTGATAAAACTGCACCAATGTTTCTTGCTGGCTTTGGGGTGTCATTTCAGAAGTATTTCTGGTGGACGATGTGTGGCCCTACCTCATAGTACTCATCACGGCGGATCCAACATGACTGGAAGTTGCAGAGTGAGGCGAGGATGGATCCCCCTGTCCACGCTGCATGTCGCCGCAGCTCTGAGCCCCCCACCTTCATAGTAGTGCTGAATGGCAGGTGACCCAGGAGCTCATTGCACAGCCTCTTCTGTAGCCCTTTGAAGAGCGAGGAGCCCCCGCACAGGACAATATTGGCACACATGGTGGGTGTGATTTCCTCTGGGAGCTGCGCAACGCTCTTCTGCACTGTCTCCTAGATCATAAAATCATAAAGGTTGGAAAAGACCTCTAAAATCCAACCACCCACCTATCACTAATATTGCCCACTAAACCATGACCCTAAATGCTACATCTACCCTTTTCTTAAACACCTCAATGGAAGGTGACCCCACCACCCTTCTGGGCTGACAGTGCCAATGTCTGAGTGCTCCTTTTGAGAAGTTCTTCCTAATATCCAACCTGGATGCTCACGAAGGAATCTCCCCAGCTGGACGGAGGGTTGAAGAGCACCTCTGGGCACTGGAAGCGCTCCTTGCTGAGGGTAAGCATCATCCCATCGGGCAGGGAAATATCCATGGTGTGGGAGCTGGGTGGGAGGAGACACTCGCTTTGGAAGTCATCAGCAATGTAGCAGCATGCATGCTTGATGCCCTCCACCATGTGGGTCATCCCCTTGCTGAGCACTTGCCCCATGTCCTCCAGAAGAGTTGAAAGATACCATGTAAGACACCGTCCTGCCACGTCTGTCTGACTGGAGTTGCATGCCATGCTCCTGCCCTCCAGCACTGGCATGACACGGGTGGCCTCGTGGCCCATATCCAGCACCAGAGCACTGATCTTGCCATATGCATAAGCAGAGAGGACCGACTGAGGGGCAACAAAGAGACCTGGAGTGCCCAGCACCTCGAAAGCCACCTCTGCCATGTTCTCCCGGCTGCTGGTGGGGCTGAACAGTGGCTCTGTGAGGAGCAGCGCGTGGTCCTCAGGGTTCACCCGGAGCTCATGTTCAAGGAGGTACTTCCATAGGCTTTCAGCTGCCTCCCAGTTAATGATGAAGCCATTGTGCATCACCTCTGTGGTTTTAGTGTCAGGGTACAGCAATGCCTCCTCTCCAATAACCACCCTAGCCCTGGCTTCTTCTGAGCTCATATGGTGGCCCACCAGGGTGCTGACCTCAGCGCTGGGGGAATGGTATCCAGAAAACCCTGCTCTGCAGCTCCTTGTGCCCATATCAATCACAATTGGACCCATGCTCGGGCCCTCGCTGCTGGAGCAGTTGACAGTACTGGAGGAGAAGCTGCTTACAGAGCCTAGCTCCAGCTCATCTGGGTGGCATTGATGGAGTATAAAGATTGAGGAATAGTTCTCTGTCTGTAGAGAGTCCCCATCTTGGGAAGGCCCCATCCCACCTCCCTGTGGCCTCTCCATCTCAGAACATTGCCTAGGAAACAGAGCTGGGCAGTAAATTCCCCTGAGTGGGCTTGGGCAGAATCTGCCAAACTGTGACATCATCCAGGCTGAGCTGTGGCAGCAGGGGAGAATGCCATGCATGGCATCTGAAGGTACTGGCTACTTTCTGGCAGGAGTGTGGGGACAAAATGAGGATGATGCCCATCGCCAGCTCACACCAGTATGTGTGTTTTGGGGAGGGGTTGTGGTCTGCTCTAGAGCTTGCTCTGCTGTTTCTTTAGTGCTGCTTGGCCAGAAACCAGTGTCTGGGGGCATCCCTCGTGGTACAGTGTGACCAGAGCAGCAGCTTTGTGGTTACACACGCAGAAGGAAAACAGCTCCATGAGTCTTTGTGCTTATACATACCCAAGGAAAGCAGCCCTGTGCTTCCTGCTGGGCTCAGCACTCACAGAAGGCCCACAGTGGAGCTGCACTGTGGGCATGAGAGCTGATGAAAAGTTGCATTGCATCAATGCTCCTCCTCATGCTGCTGTATTGAGCAAACTGCAGTGTGAGAATGGTTTCCTCATTTTCTTTCTCTTGCTGCCCCCTAAAGCTAGTGGGTTTTGCTGGATAGGAACAGGTGGGCCTTGCAAAGCAAAGAGGAACCAGATCCAGCAGTGGCTTGGAGGGAAGTGTGAGTTTGTTTCTTGAGGGAAGGTTGGAGCAACGCCATTCAGTGCTGGTGGTGCTGGTGTTTCTCATTTTGTCTGCACCAAGCTCATGGAATCTCATGGAGCAGGGTGGGGGAAAAGGATGATGAGGGACAATTAGCAGCAAAGCAATGAAGAGGATGAGCAAGAAAGATAAAGCCAACCTAGAGTCAGGTGCTGCCTGTGTGCAGGGCAGGTGTCTGGATATGGCAGTGGCTGGGGTGGCTTGGGGAAACTGAGTTCTTGTCTCCATTGAGGACCAAGAAGGATGGGAACATTGCATGAGTAGCGCTGGGGATGGGAGTTTAGAGAGGAGCCTGGGTGATACCCAAATGACTTTCTGGTGACTGTTTCCATAGCCAGCAGAATATTTTTGTATATGAGGGCACAAGTGAAGAAGAGTTGTTGAGGAAAGCAAGGAGAAGCAGATGAATCTTCTGTCATTGTAGTTTCTTGTCTGTAGTGTTCAGCATCAAGTGTTTAAAGAGCTGAAAAGGAGGCTGATGCACTGTCTATTATGGAGCAGCAGTTACCAGGGCAGTGTTGGTGAGGTCTGGATGGAACATAATAGAGAAAGAGAGAATGTGGATCTTCCATGGAGTTAGGATGAACGTGAGGACAGAAATGCAGAGGAATGGCATTTGCACAATGCAGGAATGGGACAGTAGGGGGCAAAGATGTTGCTGGGAGGAAAGGAGCTGAGGCTGGCCTAGGGCATGACCCTGCTGCTCAGCTGGGGCCCTGCAGACTAATCCCCACCACAGGGAACGGGTGGTGCCCCATTCCAGGAACTGTGCAGTGCCTGAGGCCAGGTCATGGCCAGGGCTGGGCTGCCTGTGTCACTATGAGCTGCTGTGGGCTCTGGTTGTGAACCACAGCTCCATAGCAAATGTAGGCACAGGTCCAAGCAAAACAGGGAGCGCATTGTGACATCATGCAGGGATGCTCAACAGCACTATGGTGTGTGCAGGTCACTTCCTCTTAGGAAGCAGATCCATAGAGGGTATCAGCCATCCTCATGGCATGCTCAAGCTGCTGCTGCTCTCTTAGCTTCCTTTCTGCAGCTCTTCAGTAAGGTATCTGCACTGGTATCAAATGCCCTTGGCTGCCTTGGTGCTCCTAAAGTGTATTTCAGCTTTGTTAACTGCAGCATAGCTTTTAGGGGCTGGGTGGAGGAGACTGGCAGGACTGGGTTTGGATGCTCTGCCCATGGTGGCAAAAGTTAGTAAGGTTGGATGTATGATGCATGCCCTGGTTTTCCAGGGAGCACTGGTGGCTGAGCCAGGGAGAGGGGAATGCTTGACATGTCCAGCAGTGGCTCCTTCTGCAGAGGACATGTCTGCAGCAACACCTCAGGAAATGGAGTAGCATGGTATTGCTGGGATGGTTTCTTGGCTCTCTGGAGTGCCCTCAAATAGGTCAGGTTAAGTGCTGCTATGCTGCATCTAAACTAAGGTTTTTCTGAATTACATCAGTGTTTGTAACTTGCTGTGGTACAGGAAAGTTTGTCCCAGTGCTCTCAGGTCTGTACTGGACCCAGGGTGCTGCCAGGAGCTCCATGGGGACAATGCAAGGTTTTGTCCCAGTGGCTGCATGGGGCAGCAGTGCCAGCACAGGGGCTGCTGATGTGTTCTCTAAGACAAGTGCCAGCCGCTCCTGGTCTCGGCAAAGCCCTGGGAGAGGAGCAGGAGGTGGCACAGCTCACAACAGTGCAGCAGCTCTGCTCTGTGGGCACAGCATTTAAAAAAAGAGAACTCAGCACCTCTAGGAAATGGCTCTACAAAACAGCAGTGTGGTGCGTGCTGGCTGCCACATCTCTGCACCCTGCGCTGTCCCACTGTTTGCATCCCTTGCACCTCTTTGGGTGAGAGGGAGGGGGATGCTCAGGCACGGCAGGGACATGGGATGTGGGGAAGATGTGGGATAGAGCCTTCAAAGCTGGAGCTGGAAAGTCCTTTGCTCACAGCTTTGCTATCGCGGCTGCTGTCACATGTGGGTGGCACAGAAACCTGCAAAGTCTTTCACAAGCTGCTGCAGAAAGCTTTTAAGCTGGTAATGCTGACATAATCCTGGGTGCTTGAAAACCTTTGTTTGATCAAGCAAAAAGGTTTCTATCCCTCAGGCTCTGCTCTGCAGTGAGGAACCTGACCTGGGAGGTAAACCGGTCCAACCTGCCCTGAGGAGGTTTGCTTTGAAAGTAAAAAGGCAGTTTGCATGGAAACCTTGCCTGCAGTGGAAGGATTAATGACTAATCGTGGTTTCATTAACTCTAGTGCTTTCACTTTCAGCACAGAGTCTAATGATAGCATTGAATAATTACCTAGAGATCAGCACCACCTCCCTCTGTGCTCTGCAGCAAGCTGTGGTGCACTGAGCTCCTGGGCACTGCTGTGGTTGGAAGGGCAGGAAAAGTCCCAGTGTCCATAAAAGTGACATCAGGCCCTATACTATGGGATGCTCAATCAGAGATCTTGATGGGACAGATGCATTTTCTGGTTTGGGATGAAACTGTGTTGTTGGCAATTTCCCATAGTATGAAAATAATTGTGGTAAGAATGCAAAGATTTACCCCAAGACAAGAGAAAATGCTAAACATAATTTATTAAAGAAACATTTTTCTAGTATTTGTAAACATTTTTCCTTCATGAACGGATGACAGGTCTGTGAAGACAATACTTCATCTGTTCTGTCAATGGATTTTTGTGCCCAGATGTGGGAAGAACACACCGTACATGCCCTGCTGAACCTGGTACAGATCTGACTTTCTTCTTAGGCAAAAGACAATCTGGTGGAAAAGGGATAATGTAGGGGGGGGGGGCGAAGCTTGCAAAAAGGCCAAATTTCACTAAACAGACCCAAACCACCCTGCCATAAGACGTCCTCTGTCTGACAGATGGAGGGACTTGGTGAAGGAGCCATTTGCCAAGGCTGCACAGGCAGAAGCCCACACAGTCCCTAGTTTTAAATCTGAGCTTTTTCTTCTCAATCCTGCTGACTAATTTTTACTCCTGAACCTCCAAGGGTAGGAATCCATGTTCTCTGCAGACTGAGCAAAACAAACACAGCTGCTGATGAAACTGTACTATTAAGAGAGTGTCTCCTATTTAATAAGTATCAGTGAGCAAAAAGGGTCTTCTCTGCAGTTTCCTAAGGGATGCAGCTGGAATGCAATCCAACAGTGCTGCTACAGGCTGTGTTAAGAGCATTGAGAACAAAATTCTGGATCCGATTACCTATAGGTAATTTTTTTCTATATTCCTTTATCAGCAACTTGATTATTCTGAACAGGATTGAGGTTGAAGAGGGGTTTTGTAGGAGATTCTCTATTCAACCTGCTTGCACCTCTTTTTTTTTTTTTTTTTTCCCTGCAAAATACTCTGGATCTCATTTGTGATCTACTGCCTCCTTCCCTAGAGATCAGTTTAGCAAGCTATAAATATCCTTCCCCATGCTCATGTGCACAAATTTGAGAAACCAGACAGTAACTGGAGTAGGATTTGGCATGGGGTTTGCTGTAGCTGTGCGTGTTGGGGCTGTGCTCCCACCATGCTTCCTGTGGCTGTCTGACAGTCCCTCCTGCAGCAGCTCAGATCACTGGACTCTCTTATAGCCAGAAGAGAGGTATGAGAGCAAAAGGGCAACTTACCAGGAAGCATAACAACAGGAGGAGAATGAACCCAAGCAGGGCAAAAACGCAGATGAGGATTATTGCCCAGAACTGAAGCTCTGCAGAGGCAAAATAGGAGCACATCAGTTTTGTTTTGTTTTGGACGTGTAGCTGTTTTACCTTGGACAGAAAGAGATCTTGCCCCAAGGCAGTTCAGAAGTACTGTACAACCAGGTGAGGTAAAATCACTAGAAGGCTGCATCTAGCCCCTCCTTGGCCACAGAACAAACACGCCTTTGTGGTGTTGAGAATGGCAAGGATGTACAAAAACCCAGATCAAATGGAATGAGGGTCTCAGGAGGTACAACTTCAAATGCAACTCAGGGAGCACTGGAGCCCTCAGATGGTTTCAGGGGTGTACAGAGAGACAAAATTTGTCTCCTGGATCCCTCCAGGGTGAAAACAGGGCTCAGTGCCAGCAAAACTAACTGTAGTTAGCTGTTGATGGTGAAAGGAAAAGCAACTTTTTCCGAGTACTTCTTTTTCCTGTTTACTGTTGGTAGTGAAGCTACGGCTGTGCTCACCTCCCAAGACTCCTGGATTTTTGGGCTTTTCCATAGGTCCTAATTCCATTCAAACTAAGTCATACTAATTTACTGTAGCTCAAATGTTTGGTGGCTTTAGGGTGAGTCACTCTAAAAACAAAAACACTCACCAGATCTTTTGGAGTCTTGTTCTGCTGTTGAGAGCGAAGAGTAATCTGGAAAAGAAAGGGTGGGACAGTTGAGAAACAGAGCACTACAGAGGTGACAAAAACAAAAGTAACAAAAGTTCCTGCAAAGTCATCTTGGGAGCACTTGCCTTCAACCACTAAACTCTGCTCATCCAGCTCATAGGTGGGGCCCAGCTTGGTGAACCCATCTGTCAAGCGTTGCAGCTCTTCATACACCTCTTGCTTTTGTAAAGTCCTTAAGAAGGGATCATGTGTGAATTTGCAGACAGAGGTGATGCTTGTGTAAGGTTTCCCATGGACTGGCCTGGAGGATGAAAACCAGAATCATTGTTATGGGACAAGAAGAAAGAAGCACAGAGCTGAGTAGAATTAGGGAGAGGGATTCAGCCTCAGATTCGTGCTTGTGGATAGCTATGTGATGTTTCGTGATCATAGCTCAGTTTTTTTGTAGTGTCAGCTGGGTGAGAAAGGCACTTGTATAGCCTTGGAATCGTCAAATCATTCAGGTTGGAAAAGACCTCTAAGGTCATCCAGTCCAACCCCAACCCATCCCACCATGCCCTCTGCCCATGTCCCTCAGTGTCACATCTCCATGTTTCTGAACACCTCCAGGGACAGTGACCCCACCACCTCCCTGGCCTGTGAAATACACCCAGTGTCTCAATCCCAGGCATTTCTAAGAGAAATCAGCTCATCTTTTTTTTGTTTGTTCCTCCAAAGAGATGGTGGAGAAGATAAAGTAGATTTAAATCTCAGGGCAGTCAGTTATCATGACATATTTGTGAATATGTTTAATTTTTAGCTTATTTGAATAAGCCAAATGAGAGGATGAGTGTATTTTATGTGTCATCAAGAGCACAAATATTGGCAACGAGGCATAAGCACCATGGCTGTGGCTCTGAATGCCATTTCTGCTTAAATACTCTTTCTGATGAAACGTAAACACTTCCAAAGTAGGTCATACCCAAAACTCTCCACGGTACAGCCAGCAAAGTAGTTCTTCATGCTACTATTTCTGAATACATTGAGCTGATGGGAAGAAACAGAACAGTTGAGAAAAATGAGTAAATGTAATGCATCTTTAATTTGGACAGGGAAATCATTCCAAGCTATTGCTGTTAACTTACCTCTTTCTCAATTTTCTCTTTGTTCTCTTGGTACATCTGTGACCTGGAGTCCTGCAGTTCTGGGGAGTATGGGAGGTTGGTGATTCTGAATTTTAATCTGAAGCTTTCTTTCTCAGACTTGAGAGGTGTTTTGTCAGTTGCTGCTTGAATTGCTAGTTCCAAGCCTGGAAAGTGAAAGAGTTAGGATAAACTCAAAGAGAAATGGAGGTTCTTCCGCCAATCAGTGCAGAAGAAGGTGCTTGGAAGGCTTAGTTGGTAAAATGTGATGAAGTTAATAGAGTGAGTTGCACTGGGATCTGACAGCAAGTTCCCAAACTACCCTTTGAAATACCAATCTTTCAGCAATATACTAAGCCAGTCAGTTCTTCAGGAATTATATATTTGGAAAAAGGTAGATCTGTTTATTCCTCAGTGCTTAAAGTTATGGTAAGTAGTTATCACTTCACTTTTTTCTTGCTTAGCACTGAATAGTCACAGGAGCAATTAAGGACTAAAGGATAGATTGATCCAGAATGAATGGGTCAAAAAAAATGGCTAAACTCTGCCCTCTGTTCAGTAGTTCAGCTTAGTAATAGACTTTTCCCCACGTTAGAGAAGAAAATGGGGAATTCTGTGGCAATGAGATGATCTGAATGGAAACAGGGCAGCTGAGATTTAAACATACCATCTACTGAGAATTCTTGCAACTGATAGCTGCTTCCCAACCATAGTCCAGTTGTATTTGAAGTCCCATTCTGAAAAGCCCTTTCAACCACAGCCCTGTTGATGCTGGGCTCTTGCTGGAAGAAGCAATTGCAGTCAACCACTATGGATCCAGCCCTATGGACAGAAACAGAGCTTCTGAGTTAAAAATCTACTGACCAATGTGAGAGTCTCTTGTCTAAGCCTCTTCCCATGAAAGCAGGACACTAGAGATGTGTCCAATGCTCTCTTTTTAAAAGTAGCAGAGTTCAAGCTGGGAGGAGGAAGGCAGAAGGGTACAGAGTCACCCTTCAGACCTCATTTTTAGGGGGTAAAATTGCTGATGGCAATCAGTAAATACTGATCTGGGGATACCCTACAAAAATCCTGACTGAGTCTGAGTTTGCATCAGTTAAGAAGAATTCAAACTGATGAATTCTAGGAAGCTGATAAGGCATGAACCAAATTGTTAATGGACAGGTAGAATTCTGCAAAGGACAGTACTTGGCTGCTGGGGACAGTACTAGGGGTTGCAATCTTGTAAACCTTTTAAAATAAAGTTATATTACAGACCTTAGTCTTGTGATACTGCAGTTTAGGAACTGGTCTTGCAGGTTGCTCTGATGGTACAATTGGTTCAGCTGAAAGAAAAATGTCACGTTACATAATGAGTTCTGGAGCTCTGGTAGATGCTTTAGGGCAGCAGGAGGGCCTGTAGATGTGGAACAATGTTATATTTTTTTTCTGAATATGCCTTCTGTTGATGGGGTCTGACTTCCAGCTTGGTAGTCCATTTTGTCTTATTTAGACAAGCTGCCATTGTTAAACTGTGCAATTCATTGACTGATGGCTGTCATCTTGATCCATATTTCATGGACAAAACAGACTGGGATCTCAAAGCACAGAATGGTATGACTTCATTTAAAAAGCAAAAGCTGCCTAAGGCTTTGTCAGGTATGTTGATGGATTGGTGATGAAGAGAATCCGTTCATTTCTCAGCAATTTATTATGAATGTGCTGACTTCTGAGTTGGTGACTATGTGACTACAGTGCTGAGTAAGAGTACATTTAAATTTCATGGTGCACGGATGGAGGCTTAAAACCACATGTAAACTAAAAAATTTAACTGTCTGAAAAGCCAATCTCATTTTTTAGATTCTAGAAAATTTTGTTCCCAAATGTGTTTGGTTTTTTGCTTTTTTTTCTTTCTTTTTTTTTTTTTTTTAAATTAAGCAAACAGTAGTTTAAGTAAATACGCAGTAGTTGCTGCAAAAGTTGAACAGTGCAGATATGGTGGTATTTGAACTGCAGCTCCTTACCTTTTTGCTGATGCTTTCCAGTGCTGCTTTGTATTCTGGAGACTGAGAGTCTGGGTTAGTTAAGTTTTCACTGACTATTCTAAAGCTCAGTTTGTATCCTGTTATGGCTGGAGCTTTATTCAAGACAGGCTTTCTGGTGGTAGCTGTGTCTGTGAGGTGGAAACCTAAATTAAAAAAAGGTAGAGTGCTTTTATTTTTACAGCAAATCTATGCACACCACAAAAAAAACATGTGGGTACGTCCATGTTTAGTTCATATGATGTAACAGTGATGTTGTGCAGGAATTTGTATGATTTAAGGGATGCAAGTGCTCTTAGACCAGCAACAACATGTTGGCTTTTTTTTTTTTTTTTTTTTTTTTTTGCCTTAATGCCAAAACACACTGAATCCCAACAAACCAAAGGGAAAAGTTCATTAGTATTCCAGCCCTGATGGAATGGGAGAGGGAGGAGTGCTCTCCAAGTGATGAAAAATCATTGCTTTTTACTGCTTATGCATGCTTACCATTAACGTGCAGACTGTTCTTCTCTAGGCTGTAGTGCCCTAGTTTGGTGATGCCATTTGTCATGGTGCTCAGCTCGTGATAAACTGTTTCTCTGTCAAACCTGGCCATGCTGACGTTGTTTTTGTAGCTGCAGACAGCATCCACACCTGTGTCACCCCTGCGTCTCCCAGACCTAAGTGAAAATGTTAGACACACGGTTTAGGATGATGCTGATGCTTACAGAACACCCTGTGTGATTCCTGTGGCTATGAATAAGTGCACCGCTCATTATATCTTTCAGTGGAATGTGAAGAATTGTGGCAGCATTTGAATACCAAGATAATTTCACCATAAACAAATTTGGGAATGGGAAAGCAGTTGCCACTGACTTCTATTTTCTGGCATCAGCACGTGTAGTAACTAATGCAAGTATAAGTTGCGTGAGAACAGGCAAATAGATAATTGAGCTTTCATGAATCTTACCTAAATCTCATCACTTTACATCCAGTGTAGACAGAGCTTATGCTGCTTCTTTTGAACAGAGGGTCAATCTATTTAAAATAATAGTAATAAAGTAAATTTGAGAGCTTGAAAGCATACCAGATCACTGTAACTCAAAATGGGCAAGGCCAGAGCCAGACTTACATAATGTTTGATAACTTTCTCTGTGGAAATGAATCTGCGGGAATTTGGTGCATCCAGATCTGCAGTATATTGGAAGTTGGTCAAGGTGAAATTAAGTGTGAAATGGCTGGTTGTTGGGCTTGGAGCAGTAGTTACTCTCAGATCTGTAATCAAATGGGAGAAGGATTATTATTTTACAGTACAAAAAGCTATACTTGGTTTCAAAGACATCCACAATCTTTTCAAACTTTAAGACTACTCCAAGGAACCTGTTTTTGGCAAAGCACTTACGTGATCTCTGGAGTGGTTCGTTATAACCTGAAAAGGAAATGCAAGAGAAATATTCTGTGAGTGAACCATACACTTAAAGAATGAAAGAGGGGATAATTAAATGGATGATTCAGGAATGAATCACCAGAACCAGTCCCTGAGGGTGTGAATCTGTTAAATTCTTGCTTGGGCAGAAAGAGCCTTTTATGTTATGAAGGACTACAGTGAGAAAATACATGTACTGCTTTAACTAAGTGGGGTAGAGAGATCAGGTGAAATGTTCATATGCAAGTGAATTATTGCTGTCAAGACTAAAATTAATTCACTCTTCAATGCAACATAGAAATTAAAATCTTCAAAAATGTCAATGTGAAAATGTTCTTGGAAGCATACACTTCATCTTACACAAATCATGCAGAAAATTCTAGAAGGATCACCTTTTCCTTACATTTACTTTTATTATTTTTTTTTAAACTGAAGAGTTTCCTAAAGCCCAGTGTGGTTCCAGACTGCTCTGGTGCCTGGAGGACTGAAAGTTATGCACTTACCGTTGACATAGAGGCTCTCCTTATCCAGTTTATAGATTCCTAATTTGGTGATGTTGTTTGTCATGCTCCTTAGTTCTTGATAAACTGCAGCTTTGTCAAAATTGGGCACTTGGGAGCCATTTCTGTAGCTGCAGATGCTGTCTACTGCTGTGCTATCTCTATTCGTCACTGACCTGAGAAATCAAGTGGAATCAAGTTTAGTTGTTACTCGTTCTAAAAATCTGTGGGTTTTCTTCTGATGTTATTAAAAAGAGAAGAAAAACAAGACAAAAGAAGCAATTAAAATCTGTCCACAAATGTCAGAGATAAACTGCAGAAGTTATTCTGAGATGTTGGTGCTATAGCACAAAGGCTTTGTAAAATTAAGCACATAGAAAAATGCATAAAAGCATTATTGCTGACTTCTTGAGAAAGGAAAATAAGGTTTTAAGTATCAATCAAATGTAAGTAAATCCATTTGTCTTCCAGCTACATTGCTTACCTGAATAGTATTGCTTTGCAGCCAATGAAGTCAGGGCCAATGCTGCTTTTCCGAAGCAGAGGGTCAATCTGACAAGGAAAGGTCTCTGTGAGCATGGGTAATGCAAAACACTGGGTGATTAAGAACACCGTGATGTTAGCTTACATAATGTTGCATTATTTTCTTGGTAGAATTGAATATAGCAGAATGTGATCTCCCTAGGTCTGTAGTGAACCTGAGGTTGGTTATGGTGAAGTTCACTGTGAATTGCTGTATTATTTGTCCCAGGCTTTGTGTGTTGAGTGGCTTTTCCACTGTAAGAGAGAAAAAATATGCAGATTAGCAAAAACAAACACACAAAAAATCATAAGATGCAATATTATCTGTTTTTGTCTTTTTTATAACATTTACGTAAGAAACTTATGAACATGACCATAAACTGGAGGTATATGGCAATCTCATGAGCACAGTGAAATCAGAAAAAAAAGTAAATTATATCTCTAAGTAGTTTGACAGATAAATTTTAATATACTTACATGACAGATCATGTGGTTCATTGTAATCTGAAAAGAAATGAGCAATCATTAGGAAAATATTCCAAGAATGTCTTCTGGCTCCAACTGATCAAGAGCAGCAATACTAAACATGTCATATTCCTAATGACTTCAGGGTTTGTGATTGTTTTAACTTACTGAGGCTGACAGTTTTTTGCCATCTGCTTTTTCCTATCTGATCTGAGAGATAATAAAATCACAGAATCATAGAACATCCTTGGCTGGAAGAGGCAAAGGTTCTGCACAAGACCAGCCAAAATCGAAAATCAAAACCTAAGAGAATTGCACAAACACCTCTTGTACTCTGGAGCTCTGGTACTGCAATGAATAACCTGCAGAGGAGTTTCAGTGCTCAAGGGTCATCTCATAAGAAATAATAAGATGATAATAAGATGTATTAAACCACACACTTTCTCATTTGAAAATGGCCCTGATCAACATAAAGAATACCACTTAATGCTAAAGATACCAGTGTAAAAAATGAGGCTCAGGCTGAGAAAAAGGTAATACAAAAAATATTACAGTTTCAGACAACAGGTAGAGGAAGGTGAGCTGTGAAACCATCCACACTGAACAATACAGAAAAAGTGAAAAAGGAAACAATTATATAATGCTCAAACAATGAAACATGGAAAAAGCAGAAAAAGTGAAAAATAAGCTATAATAAAACAAAAAAAAAAAAAAAAAAAAAAAAAAAGAGATGAAAAGATGAATGGCAAAAAAATTTAAAAAAAAAAAGTGATAAAAATGGAGGAAAAAAGAAAAAGACATGCACCATTGATGTAGAGGCTGGTCCTGTCCAGGCTGTAGGGGCCCAGGCGCGTGACGG